GGGGTAGGGGTGTTCAAGGTGAGAGCAATGGGTTCAATATGATTTTAAAGCTCTAGTCTTACCTCTATGTAATATTAGCATCTCTTTTATCCATTGTCATGTGGGAAATCTCACGTTAAAAAGTTTAAGAAGAAACATGTGTGTTTAAATATGATATGGGTTATGCCACCTACTGCTCTTAGGTTGGATGCTGATGTTGTATTCAACCCCACTTGTTTTCTTACATCAACGAAAGTCAAATGTCTACTGTTGTATTATTACTTATCCTTTCATTTCCTTAAAACTACTAAACAAAAAATGTATGTTATTTCCTTTTTACTCTTTTCAAGCTATCCTTGATGGTAATGTTGAATTGTTCCTTTGCTTTTTGTGGTCTTCCGTACTTTCCCTCATATCCAAACATTGCGTAATAGACTGAGTTTTTATGATATGCATAGTTTTTTTTTTTTTTTTTTTTAAAGAAAAAAATTATACATTTTCTTCCCTTATAATATGCATTTTTTTTTTTTTTTTTTTTCAATTAGCTATGAGATGCCTCGCTATAGATGTTCTTGGTTCTATATTGATGTCTCAGTTGGAAAATTTGTTCTAAGCTGTATGGAAAAATTACTGCATAAGGGTTTATATTTTGTTACAGGACTTTTGGTATTGCTACTTGTTTTTTTTTGCTTTTGGGGAGGAAATTGAATAATTGAGGCTTTTACACATAATGAGATAGCCCAAGATAACATGGGATATAGTGTTGTTAGTGAAAATAGAGTATGGAACTTCTAGTTCCTTTACAATCATCTACGTTGATCTTATATTCATTTATTATTTTTTATCAGCATCTTACATACATTTGATATAGATCTTATTTAGAATTTATTATTTTTGCTTATTCAGGAGGACAGAAAAACTTTGCCTGTTTATCCATATCGAGATGAGCTGCTCCAAGCTGTTAATGATCACCAGGTAAATGCTTGTTGCAACCATGGTGCCTTAAGAATATTTCATATACTTTCTGTTTCATGGACTTGTTTGACTGCACTTGAGCAACTTTTGAATACACTAACTGATGGAGACAGGGTTTTGGTGGGCACCTAACTGCCTCTAAACTGACAGGGTGGTGCACATATGCACCTTATCTAATCAGAGAAGTGGGAAGACTCAAAAGTAAAAATTATTAGTATATCTGTTAGGGTTAATTAGGCAGGGTTGCCAGCCATGAGGTTTCAATCAAATGAAAGAGGGTCATTGATAGTGGTTAATATCTGGTACTGCTGTTGCAAGTTGCAACTAATGTAGGGCCTTGCCAGATGATTGTGTTCTTTCTGCTTCTTCACCTTAACATTTAAATGATTCACAAGAATGATAACTACCACTTTGCACAATTGATTAAGTAACTGACTGCTGGCAGCAGCTGGCACACTACACATCATATAGTTTCTTGTGACTTCTATATATGCTGTGCCAATAGTTATATAGTCATGGTAAATTGTCCAAATTTTAATTCTAGGTTCTTGGCACGCACCTTTTTCAGGTTCTTGTTATTGTTGGAGAAACGGGTTCTGGAAAGACCACACAGATACCTCAGTATCTTCATGAAGCTGGTTACACCAAACGTGGAAAGGTATTAGCTTTGCTTGTTGCAATGTGTTTTTTATTGTGTTGCTGAGGAAAAAATTGAAAAATCTGTATCAGAAACTTCAATGAGGGTTTTTTTTTTTTTTTTTTTTGACCTGTTTTGTGCCATCTGCATGGTATCTTTATATAAAGGTGAATGGTTATCTGAATTGAATCCTTTATAAAGTCACAAATCCTATGGCAGGATTCTTTTTCTTTTGCCCAAGTTTTTAAATCAGTAAAGTAATAATGCAATATAACAAGGGACAAAGGGGAGCCTCATTTGTATACTCTTTCTTCTACAAAATGCAGTGTTTCTTACAGAATGGGCAACATAAGAAGCCTGCAAAAATCAGACATGTTTAGAACAAAATGAAAAGGAAAGAAAGATCCTGATGACAGGAAACTCAAGTTATCCAATCCATTTTTTGCTACATTTTTGTAGGTTGCTTGTACACAGCCTCGGAGGGTTGCTGCAATGAGTGTTGCTGCTCGAGTTTCTCAAGAAATGGGTGTCAAACTTGGGCATGAGGTTTGCAACCTTTGTGTTAACAGTTAGAATGGCGCTTTCTATTTTGGATGGTTGAGATTCACATGGATGCAGAAATCTGATTCCTATTGCATTTGGATCTGCTATAGAACAGGCGATTAATTTCTTTATGTCGTTTCAGGTTGGTTATTCCATTCGTTTTGAAGATTGCACCTCAGAAAAAACTGTTCTGAAATATATGACTGATGGAATGTTGTTGCGAGAATTACTTGGTGAGCCAGATCTTGCAAGCTATAGGTAAGCTATGTTTCATACCCACCTCTATATTTTGTTGGCTGAGCTGTGCTGTTTTAGTGATTGTCTATTGAACTTTTCAGTGTTGTGATGGTAGATGAGGCTCATGAAAGAACTGTGTCTACTGACATTCTTTTTGGATTGGTGAAGGCAAGTAGTTATCTTTTCAACTTGTTAAATTATTTAAATTTGTTGCTGAATAAGGTATTAAATTAAGTTTGTGTCCTTGCATGGGCTTGTGAGTTTGGTGAAATATTGCCTAAATTGATATCTATTAACCTGGTTAGTTATTCTGTTCTGATTTCTATCATGGTCATAGGTGATATTGTTATCCAGAAGATTTTTTTTTTCGTTTTTAAAATTTGAATGGTAGAGGACATCAATAATGTGAATTATGGTCTCTTTAATGTCAGTTAAACTGGGTGTTTATTTGACTTCTGTTCTTTTGATAGGATATAGCACGGTTTCGAAAGGATCTCAAGTTACTTATTTCAAGTGCCACTCTTGATGCGGAGAAGTTCAGTGATTTTTTTGATTCTGCTCCCATTTTCAAGATTCCTGGCAGAAGGTATCCTGTTGAGATCCACTACACAAAAGCACCAGAAGCTGATTACTTGGATGCTGCAATTGTCACTGTTCTTCAAATCCATGTGTCTCAGCCGCAAGGAGATATTTTGGTTTTCCTCACTGGTCAGGAGGAAATTGAGACTGCAGAAGAAATTTTGAAGCATAGAACAAGAGGTTTGGGGACAAAAATATCAGAACTTATAATCTGCCCCATATATGCCAACCTTCCAACTGAGCTTCAAGCTAAAATATTTGAGCCAACTCCTGAAGGTGGACGTAAGGTAGTCCTGGCAACAAACATTGCTGAAACATCAGTAACCATTGATGGGATTAAGTATGTAATTGATCCAGGTTTTTGCAAGATGAAATCTTATAACCCAAGGACTGGGATGGAGAGTTTGTTGATTACTCCTATCTCTAAAGCTTCTGCCAATCAACGGGCTGGTCGATCTGGACGAACAGGTCCAGGAATGTGTTTCCGGTTGTATACTGCACACAATTATTACACTGAGTTGGATGATAATACACCACCAGAAATACAGCGTACTAACCTTGCTAATGTTGTCCTTGCTTTGAAGAGTCTTGGAATTCATGACTTGCTACATTTTGATTTTATGGATCCACCACCTGCTGAAGCACTACTCAAAGCGCTGGAACTTCTTTTTGCATTGAGTGCCCTAAATAAACTTGGGGAGTTGACTAAAGTTGGTAGAAGGATGGCTGAGTTCCCTCTTGATCCCATGCTATCCAAAATGATAGTTGCTTCTGACAAGTACAAGTGCTCAGATGAAATCATCTCAATTGCTGCAATGCTTTCTATTGGGAATTCTATTTTTTATCGTCCAAAGGACAAACAAGTTCATGCTGATAATGCAAGGATGAATTTTCACACTGGAAATGTGGGGGATCACATTGCTCTGCTCAAGGTTTCCTCTTTTTTTTCTTTCATTTTTTTTGGCATGCTTCTTGTAATATTTCAAATCTCATGCCTCATACCCTGACTTGGTAGGTAGCTTGCTTATTGATGTAGGTATATCAGGTTGTGTGTGAAGGTCTTTAAGGTTATATTTTTAGGTTGCATCTTGCTTTTATTCTTTGTCTTTTGTGATTGTGAAGCAATTGGATTTTAAGTTACTTATATCCTTTGATTCATTTGAGTATTGTTCAAGGAGAAGTCTTGACTCCTCTTTTTTTGCCGTTATTTTCCAGGTTTATAATTCTTGGAGGGAGACAAATTACTCAACACAGTGGTGTTATGAAAATTATATTCAGGTCTGATATTGGATCTCCAATTATGTTGTTTATGCTATTCTCATGTTTATCATTCTTGTCAGTCCAGTAATGTCATGTCTGTTGGCCATGCATGCTTTTGTTGAGTACTTGATTCTCTTTTTGAAAAATTAGACAGCAATGTTAGCATAGAGGGATATCAATGAATCTTGGTGGTTGTTCTGGAACGTTAAATAAGGAATTATGATGAATCCATTAACATATTAATTTGTTAAATGAGGAATTATGATGAATCCATGAATATATCTCTCAAGTTCTGATAACTATATTAATACAAGGTTAGAATGGACTCATGGAATCTTCTCTTGATTCAAGTGGGTAAAGATGCTTTTTTACCAGCTTATATCAATGATGATTCAAAATGAATATGCTGAATTTGCTTACATCTGTTTGTTTCTTATCATTTATTATTTCTATGTCTTCAGGTCAGAAGTATGAAACGTGCCAGAGATATCAGAGACCAATTGGAGGGGCTTTTGGAGAGAGTTGAAATTGAACTAACATCCAATTCAAATGATTTAGAGGCTATAAAGAAGGCTATTACATCTGGTAAATCTATAAGTTTCCAGTGTTATGTCTATTGCTAAATTCTTTTTTTTTTTGGATAGGCATATTGCTAAACTCTAATTAATTACTGTCTCAGGATTTTTCCCTCATTCAGCAAGGTTGCAGAAAAATGGTTCTTACCGGACGGTGAAGCATCCACAGACTGTTTATATACATCCATCCTCTGGGTTGGCACAGGTATGCTATACTTATATTTTCCCTTTTTTTTCTTTTTTGGGCTTCAATTTTCCAAATAATTGAAGTTACAGGGTTAGCTGCTGAGATTTATGGTTAATGTCACAATCAGACTACTCTTGCATTTAGTTTCATTCCAAATAAATGATTTTTATTTTTTTGTTTAGGACAGTTACATGGCAACAGGGTTTCTTTTGACATAAATTGTGGAGAAATCTTTTGATATTGGTGGACAGTCAATGCATTTATTTTAATTTTCTGAAAAGGCAAAGATTAATTGGGGTGCATTCAATATGCAACAAATTCTTGTAATGTTTTCCTGGAATTTATAGTTTTATTTCTTTACTCTCTTTAGGTGTACCCAAGATGGGTTTTGTACCATGAACTGGTTCTTACAACCAAAGAGTATATGCGAACGGTAAGTGTTCTCCCTGATGAACACAGTTTCAAAATCTCATTCAGCATTAGGTTTTGCTGTGTGTAAGCTTGTTCTCATTGCATGGATTTGGGAGTTCATTTGCAGGTTACTGAGCTGAAACCAGAGTGGTTGGTGGAAATAGCTCCACATTATTACCAGATGAAGGATGTTGAAGATTGTATGCTTTCTCTTTCTCTCTCTATCAATTTTGATGATTATCTGCTTCTGAGAATTACAATGTCATGGTACCAACAGAATTATCACATGCCAGTATACATGTTTGATATTTCTGCTCTTAGTTGTGCATACATTAAAAGTTTTGTAGATATAATTACAATTTTTTGAATGCTTGATGTATGGCAAAAGATTGGAATGTTTAGTGTCCATCAATTGTGTTTATTTTGCTAAAGTGCTCTTTTCTGGACAGCTGGATCAAAGAAAATGCCAAAGGGACATGGTCGCCCGTCAGAGTAACTTGTATAAGTTGGTTGCTGGTTTTCGAAGAAGCAACATTACTTGTAACTTAGGGTAGTTAATGTACTCTGTCCTTTTATTTGTTGACGAGGAAAAGCTCCCCAGCAGAGAAAAGAGGATGTAAATACAATTTTGTGAAAATTTTTACCGTACCAGAAGGTATAACAAGTTAACATTAATTGCATTGTACAGAGATGAGAGAACATGAACACCCTTACCGTTAGTATGAAATCAATGTACATTTTGATTAATTAATGATGCCTTGTGTAGAAATTTTGGGTCTAAAATTAATGTATTTCATCTACTATCATGTACTGTTAT